CATAAATTCCAGAGAACTATTTCTGTCACAGATATAATTTTCTATGCCTCCGCTCTAGATCAATGACCCCATTTTTCCTCAGTAATTTGAATTAATCACATCATCTAGTAGAGAACTTGTTCCTTCTTATTTTTGATTCAATGGAATAGGAAGTCCACAATGGCTGCATTACCATCAACTAATTTTTATTATGTATTACATTAGTATAATGGTCCATCAGATTATCTAGGAAGCTCTTAATAAATTAAGCTTCTGATAAATATGTAAGTAAAATTCCTATTGCTATCCATTGTGATCCAGGATGTTGTGATAAAAAGATCTATGGGCAAATTTTGGGTTATGTAACTAAATTTCTGTCATTTTACATTAAAAAATTTTTACATAACCACTCATTAATGAAATAATCCATGAAGAATACTATTTGTAATTTTTGGAATATAGGTTTTATTTCCAAGTATTTTCTTTTTCAAAATCCCCAGAGGTTAACTTAGCTCTAATGAATCTTAGGAACAAGTCCACAGGCCAGTTATTTCATGATTCCTAATCATCAATTTATTTATTTTTGGTTAAAAAAAGCAATAGTTATAATAACTAAATAACAAAAAAAGGGTGTAGAATTCCATATTGTGTGTCACCATCAAAGCAACTATATTAGAGGTATATTTCCATTGCATGCAACATCACTGTTTCTCTGAAAATCAAGGTGCTTGATTTAGGTATGGAATGTATATGAACACTAAATATATCAAACTTGAGCATAACAAAGGCCTGAGACATAGGCAGATATGATTTACTGTTTTTCTCAAAGGGAAGAAGCTCAAAGAACAAGCTTCCACACACTCCCTGGTGCCTCTTACAGGAAACTCTTTTCCATTTGACAACACCAGCAAGTCCTCAGATACTTCCAATACCACATCTTCCCCAAAGTCAAGATCTTTCTCTATTGACCAAGGAGGTGCGGATAAAAACCCTTATAACATTTGGAATCAGTATAGAGTTTATTGGGGGGAAAACATACAAGCAAGCATGTAGACAAGTACTCTTTATCATTTATAGTTCTATTTTCAAACACAGAAGGATGCCCAAAGGAGATCTATCTGTAATAGACATAATATAAAAAGGGATCCTGGATTGGATTGTTTTAATGCTGCTATTATACTGTGTTCCCCCAAAGCTCATGTGTAAGACAATGCAAGAAGGTTTGGAGGAAAAATTATTAGGTTACAAGAGTCTTAACTCTATCAGTAAATTAATCCCCTGATGCAATTAACTGAGTGGTAACTGAAGGCAGTTACAGTGTGGCTGGAATAGGTAGGTCCCTGGTGGCATGGCTTTGGGTATCTATTTTGTATCTGGAGCGTGGAGAGTCTCACTCTACTCCTTGATTTATCATGTGAGCTTCTTTTCTCCACCACATTCTTGTGCCATAAGGTTCTGCTTCACCTTGAACCCCAAAGAATGGAGAAGGCTGTCTATGAACTAAAACCTCTGAAACCATAAGCCCCCAAATAAACTTTTCCTCCTTCAAAATTGTTTCTGTCAAGTCTTTTAGTCATAGGAGTAAATAAGCTGACTAAAACAAATGCCTTATATATTTAAAGGGACAGATGACAGGAAATAGCTCAAAGACTAGGTATTAATGGAATTATACTATTCAAGGAATGGGCCTTGTTTGGAAACCTCTGAGATAAACAGCTACAATTTGCCACTAATGACTTTCTCTGAGCTAACTCAGATTGCTGAGACAGATTTTTCCTAGGATTCTGAAAGGAGGGGAAATGAACCTCCAGGGATTTCTATTTGTGTTTCCTCTCACTATTCTTGTTACTTGACCCTTATTTTCCATAGGTTGAGGGATGGGACAGGAAAAGAACAGTCATTAAATTATCTCTGAGATTTCATTTTAAATCTTCACTACCAACTTCTTTTGTTGACTACCCTTTTTTGCTTTCCTAAACCTAATTTGGATTAAAAAAAAAACAAAAAACTATGGCCATCAATAGTTTCTTTTCAATTACATTCCTTAAGAGGTAAAAATCCCTCTAAAGACAATAAGGAGCTAGAATTTCTGAAAATGAGGAAAACACAAAGATAAATACATCAAAGTCTAAACTTTGTGCTTCTATCCTACAAGGTGTTTTCTGAGAATTAAATAAGATATGTAAAGCACATATCATAACAACTGTTTAGCACAAAGTAGGGCTTGAGTTACATTTGGGTAGCTATTATTGGAAATTTAGTTTGTTGTAAAATATACCATATACAGAAGCTAAAAATGAAGCCAATAGCATGGATAAGATTCATTTCAACAAAAGAGTTTAGTCTTCTCTACGTCTTTAAATTCATTTACTTGAAGATGATTATTGATTTGCAATTCATCAATTAATTGCCAAACAAAACTGGTTTGTTAATTTGTCCTTTAATACCTGTCATTTATTGTGATTAAAATGTGTGTAAAGACTGAGATCTAATTGAGAAAAATCTATAAGCCATTTCATACCATAAACAAGATGGATAAGCAAGTAAGTCAAACCAAATTCAGTAATAAGACACACCTACAATAACAATCGACTTGGTTTTTGAAAATTATACATAGCATATCATTCTTATTCTTGAAAGAAACTTAGTAATGGAAATATTGAGCTTCATTTCTTGGAAAAAGAAACTAAGGAAAGGAGAAAATAAATGACCCAAAGGCTACTTGAGAAGTGCAAAGAAAAGACTAAACTTAGATCCACCTCGCTCTCAACTGCCTGACCTTTCCACTCTTTATTGTTCAGAACTAGAACTTGAGGAAATTTCCCTAGATGCATGCATAACACATGCATTTTCTCAGGTTTATTGTGGAATTCTTTATCCTGATAATTATTCTAATGAAGAACATAAACTGGGATGATAACAGCATGGGCATTCTGAGAGATGGTTTCCTTAATTATTTCTCAGTAATTTGGTTATAAAAAGAAAACTATTTCTCCTTTGAAATAAGTATTAAGCTGTGGGTTAATATCAAAAAACAATAAAAAGATGGCTGAGTCTTAGGGAAAATTACCCCTAATTATCTTAACATATGCTCAATAAGGTATGACAAAGTTCAAGTCAAATATTGGCTAATTTTCATTGATTAATACAAAACCAATATTCTTTGCCTTTTCAGCTATCACTCCATATGTGTTAGATGGCCTAAAATTTTCACCCTGAATAAATATTAAATTCAAAATTTCTCTTAATTTTTACTTTAATAAGTAAATTACAGTGAACTTGTGAGGTCACTAATAAATGTTTGGCAATAGGATTACTCTAATAGTTTCTTATATAAATCATAATACTTTTGATTCATGCGTTGAATAGAAAGAAACAAATACTTGAAAACATTATTCATGTGTATTGGAATTTTGGAGGAAGAAACCTTGATTTCAGTCTAATTGTCACATGTCAAACAAGCATTAAAGCAGCCACATTGTCTTTGTTACAATAAGCTGTTGTCCTGAGTCCTTCATCCTCTAATCTAGTGTAATAAATAACAAAAATAGATGATATAGATATATAAAATGCATAGTTATATATATTATGCATACTACATACACATTGCACATTTGAGTCATAGAATTCTAAGTCTTAATTCAATCATTTCATAACAATCATATTGTTTACTTAAAAAGCACTCACAATATACAAATCATTGGACTATTGTTTGTTGTTGTTTCTGTTTTATATAAGCAAAATTCAATTATCAAGAACTTTACAGTCCCTTATAATTCGTCCAATTGAATGTAAATTTTAATTCTGTCACATCCTATGCCTACAGATCCCCCTTCTTGCTGTTTCTTTTTAAAAAATTTGTTATAATTAGTTATACCATCACAGCAGAATGCATTTTAACACATCATACATAAATAGAGTATGACTACTCATTCTTTGGGTTATGCATGGTGTAGAATCACATCAGTCATATAATCACATATGTACATAATGTCTGATTCATTATAATATATTTCCTACCCCCATAACCCTCCCTTGCATTCACTCCCCTCTGCTTAATCCAAAACACCTCTATTTTTTCTTAGCCCTGTCTCCTTATTGTGCATATCAAAGAAAACTACTCTAAGATTTCATCTCACTCCAGTCAGAATGTCAATTATCAAGAACACAAGCAACAATAAATGTTGGCAAGGATGGGGGGGGGAAGGTCCTCATACATGGCTAGTAGTACTACAAATTGGTACAATCATTCTAGAAAGTAGTATGAAGATTCCTCAGAAAACTTGGAATGGTCCCCTTCCCTACCCCACTATGAGTTTGCTTCCTTATGTGAGAGAAAACATTTGGCATTTGTTTTTTGGGGGATTGGCTAACTTTACTTAGCATTATCTTCTCTAATGCCATCCATTTACCTGCAAATAGGGTAGAGAGTTGGAGCATGAGAGGAATAGATGAATTCTAGATAGGGAAGAGGACTGTGAGGGAAAGGGAGGGGGCAGGGGATTAGCAAGGATGGTGAAATGTGATGGGCGTCATTATCCAAAGTACATGTATAAAGACTCGAATTGGGTGTCAACATACTTTATATAAAAACAGAGATATGAAAAATTGTAGTATATGTGTGTATTAAGAATTGCAATGCAAAAAAAGTACACGTATAGACATGAATTGGCATGAATATACTTTACATACAAAGATTTGATATGAAAAATTGTGCTCTATATGTGTAATAAGAATTGTAATGTATTCTGCTGTCATGTATTTAAACAAATAATATCAGTAATAAATAAATAAATAAATAAAAGAAGAAAGTAAAAAAAAAAAAGAATGAAAGAAAACTTGGAATGGAACCACCATTTGACCCAGCTATCACACTCCTAAGTTTTTATGCAAAGGACCAGCACACTGCAGAGATGCATCCACATAAATATTTATAGGAGCTCAATTCACAATAGCCAAATTATGGAACAACATATATGCCCTTCAACAGATAAATGGATAAAAAATGGGAATATTACTCACCCCTTTTTGCTGTTTCTAGATGAGGTAGTCTAGAATATACATCCCAAACTCCAATTCTTCCAGGAGTGAAATAAAGATGAAGCAATAAGCATATAATGTTTAACAAGGGTGGATGTCCACACTGGAACCACTGAGGAATTTAGGTGCAACTTCAATTGTGAAAGTAACCACATGGGTGCTGAATGCTGGGGAAGGACACATAAAATATGCATCAGGGGATGGGCAATGAAAAAAGTTAATTCAGTAGAAATAGTGGACTTCTACTCTACCGATTCATAATTAGTTTTATGTACATAGTTTATCATTATGATGCATAATCATTCATCCTTAAGAACAGCTTTCTAAAACTTGAAGACTTACATAAAACATTTCAGCATAATTATTGGTTTTACATGGAAAATGAAATACTGTACTATTCAAACACAACTCTAAGCTATTCTAAGGTATTCCATTCAACTCTGAATGATATAATGCATGGGAATTCTAGGCACACTGTGGTGGCTATGGCAACATGAAAGGAGGATGTGGCTATGTTCACAATGTACAATAGGAAAACCTATTTTAGACTGCTTATGAATGTTACCTTCCATTTTTGTTCATATCTTTTATTTCCAAATGAGAGAATATAGAAAAGTCCTGGGATTTGTAATATTATTCATGGATTGGTCATTGTCCTTGGCATTTACCATTGTAGTAAAAGGTTTATTGCAGTCTTATCAATGTTAGTGTTTGTATAGTGCAATAGCTCTCCTCCTCAAATAATGGGCCATAAAAGACAATAAAAAAATTACATAAATAACAATAGATTGACAAGAGCTGATTTGTGAATGAGAAGGTTCCCTCTTCTAGAAGAGGTGCTTCAGCAGAAGTGACACTAAAGTGTAATTTTTGAATGCTAGTAGGCCTCACCATGAACTCCCTGAAGTAGAATCCTGTCTCTCTCTCCCAAATCACATCAGAGTGATCAAATCTCACAGTGAAATTGCAATGGCACAATGAGGTGTAGATAAGAGGTACTGTAGTTTGAATATGGGTTGTCCCTCAAATTCATGTTAAGATTTTGTCAATGTTGTGGCAGTGTTGGAAAGTAAAGTGGAGATTAGATCATTAAGAAGAAATAATAGCTTTCTTAAGGGACAGGATTAGTTATACCCTGAGTTTGGCATTCTCAGCTCTTTTTTGCTTTCTCTTCTACACATAATCTGCTTGCCTTTTTGCTGTCCACCAAGAGTTGAAGCAACATAAGTCCTTATTCAGAAATAGAGCAGACTTATATCAGAACTATACTTTTATACTTCACAGGCTCCAGAAATATGAGCCAAAATAAATGTTTTTCCTTTATAAATTGCAATGTCTCAGGTGTTCTGTTACAGTAACAGAAAATGCACTGACATGTGAGGTTTTGAGAATGCTAAGCCTAAAGTAACATGTTTCTAATTATACAATATAAGGTTTATTGGCATCAATATGCACTAAAGTGGCTCAAAGCTCGGAGACATTAGAAAATCAGTGAGTTAAGTGGGGCAAGAGTTAAGGAAAATGATAGAACAGGCTTCTCCATAACGTGTACTGAAAACAATTCAGAGTACACTCAGCCTAAACCCATGGAGAGAAGTAACTTGGTTGAGGAAGAAAGCCAGATTTAAGGACCTAACAGGATCTAGGACAATGTCAGAAACTGAAAGATGTATCAGAAAATCAGGGAAGAATTTTGATCTGTTCAAAGCTAGTTGAGGAACATAGCTATGAATCTGTAACTAAGCATTTTTTACTTAAAATAATGTTTGTCCACTTAATGATTTTATTTTGAGACACATAAACGTGTGCAAAATGTGAAGAAGAATTTAAGAGGGAGAGGATTTAAACTGTGATTTTTCCCCATGATGAATAAATCCATGGAACTGTGGTTCCTGTTACTTTTTTTGCCTGAGCACACTTGGCTTTTATTTTTATTTTTTCAAATCTTTGGAGGGGTTGGGGGAGATCTGAAAATCCAACAATGGATTTACATTGGAATGTTGAGAAATAACTATGTAGTGCTGTGGCTTGAATATGGTCTGTTTCCTCTGAAATTCATGTAGAAGTTGGGTGGTCATTGTGACAGTGTTGGGAGGTGGAGTGTTTAAGAGGTGAGTAGGGCTACTTTCCATATTTCACAATTAGGAGATTTTTTATTTTTCAAAATGCCATAATTCAAAATCAATCCTATTTTTAAAGTAAAAGGGCAGTCATTCATTTCTGAAATTCTGAAAAAAAAATACCTCATCAGTTTTCATTTCCATCCCTAACCCTATGACCCAGTAGAAGATATGTATGTGGTTATGTGCAATGTAGACTCCACCTGAGGTCTGTTCACAGTTGTTAGAATTGCCTAAAGAACATTACAATGGTAAGAGATAAAATTACAAAGAACTGATACCCCTAGAATGTAGTCTCATCAAAACGAGGAGACAACTAGTAACATTACAGATGCTAACAAGGATAGCATCTGTATTGTTACTAGTTACAAGATAAAAATTACATTCCCACTTTAAAATAATAGGCTAAAATAAAAGGTACCTCTTTCCAAATCTTTGCCAAAGAAGCATAGTGTTTCCTGTCTTTATTTCATATATTCATTCATTTATACCTTCATCTAATAAATATTCTTAGTGCCTATAAGATGTCTGGAACTATATTAGGTGGTTGAGCAGGGTACAAAGCAGACTAAGATTTCTGAACCACTAGAGTTTTCATTCCAGTAGAGGGTTGGGTGGAAAGGCATATGTAGCATGCAAGAGAGTGATGAATGCTATGGAAGAAAATAACATAAGAAGTTGATGGGTCAGAGGTGCCTCCTTGTATATAGATAGCATCTAGAGACAGCATCATGGGAGATTAAGATGACCTGGAAGTCCTTGGCTTCTTGAGATGACTGAAATAAACAACATAATCATGTTAGTTTTGATGACCCCAAAGTTATGGTTCTGTTGAAGTTGTGAATGGTGGGGTAAAAGGAAAGTCTAAGCACCATAAGAAATTATGCAGAATACCTCCTTAATCTGCCAAAGCTGACGTGGAGGCTAAGAGAGAAATGATGATTTATACATGGTAAGGAAAAAAATTACTAATCAAATATAAGATGGATAGGGAAAAAAATTGAAGTTATATAAATCCATATAACCCACTAAATCCCAAGTTTTCAATTCTTCCAACAGAGTAAATATTTAAATATTTACTTATTTCAAAGGTGGTTGAATTTAATATTTTTGGTACCAGGATTGAATTCAGGGGCACTCAACTACTGAGCCACATCCCCAGCCCTATTTTGTATTTTATGTAGAGACAGCGTCTCACTGAGTTGCTTAGTGCCTTGCCATTGCTGATGATAGCTTTGAAGTTGTGATTGTCCTGTCTCAGCCTCCTGAGCCACTGGGATTACATGTGTGCACCACTATGCCCAGCTCAATTAAATTTTTGTAGGTGTGTGATAATGGAACAAAATGGGTTTTAATATTCAAGGAAAAATTAAGAGGCATTTAGAAACATTGAAAGGCTGTCAGGAAGATAGGATTTTTTTTAAATTTTTCATTTTTGATGATATATATGGGTTTAAATTAATGGCATATATAGGTAATAGTTAAATAATTTCTGAGGAATGCAAGTTTCCTAAGCAGTCAATATTTTATTAAAAATACAGTGAGCTTGAATATCTGCAAAGATTTTTACTAAGATCTAACAAATTTTAAGAATATAAATTGTACATTTCAAATAGAAAATTAAAATTCATATCTCATGTGTCCTTTCTATTTTTCAAGGGAAGAAAACACATTAAACATAGTTTCCGTTTTTCCCCAGTACTACTATTTATAAACACTATGTGAACTTTGAGATCATGCTAGTTTGCTGTAAGATAAAGAAGGTAATCATGGGATCCAGATTTAATATTCATGCTGATTTGCAGCTAACATTGAGAGGGGTTTGGAAGACTTTAGAAGGATTGGAGTGACAATATGCAATTTCCTGATTAAAAACAAATAACCAAACTCATTTCAAATCTCCTACTTCACTGTTGACATTATTCACAAAAAGAAACATTCTAGAGCAATCCAAGATATAAACCAACCAAATAAATCGAACAATGTATTTATTGAGAAGCTGGGGCACAAATGAACAGAAAAACAAATGATCAAACAAAAAATGAACAGAAAAATATATATGAACACACTCACACATCCTCCCCAAAATGCTCCTTTCTTCTGTATTTGGGTAGTTTAGATCCTGTCCACAAGTCTTCCAAATTTTAATTACTGTATTGGTCCATTATGACACTTTGATTTTATGATGTGATTTGATATAAATCAAAAGAAATTAAAAGTTAAAGGAGCATACTAATGCATGTTTCAAATCCTCCAAGATAAAATTGGCTTTTATTCTATCTCTCCCCTCCACATGTCACAAAATTGTTTTCTAAATGATGTATTATAGCTCCATAGAAAGTATGTTAGATTTTCACATGGAGATCGTTCCACTAATGTGATTCAGTCAAAAGATATTTCATCTGTTGTAGTCAGAAACGAAATGACAGATTGCTAAAGGAAGATGAACTTTTGATTAATAGAAATGCACACATGGCTACAAAAAACAATTTGTTGAGAAATGTAAGTAAAACTAGCTGCAAAAATATTAAAAGACCAAAGAAAAGTCAAGTATTAGAAAGGAGTCTGCAGTTGAAACTCAAAATGTCTATTTCTCTGAATCTTGTGTCAATTATTAACTTTTTTTTTTTTGGAGTACTAGGAATTGAACTCAGGGACACTTGACCACTGAGCCACATCCCCAGTCTTATTTTGCATTTTACTTAGAGACAGGGTCTCACTGAGTTGCTCAGTGCCTCACTTTTTGCTGTGGCTAACTTTGAACTCGAGATCCTCCTGTCTCAGCCTCCCGAGCCACTGGGATTACAGGTCTATGTCAGTGGGCCCAGCTAATAATTATCTTTCTTTCTACCTTCATCATATCCCATTTAGTGCCCCTAAACAATATATTGTTTGGATTTACCTATTTTTTTTCTTCTTTTTTCTTTTCTTTTTGGTTTGTACTGGAGATTTAACCGAGGGGCACTTAACCACTGAGCCATATCTCTAGTCCTTTTTATTTTGTTTATTTTGAGATAGGGTCTTGCTCATTTGCTTAGGGCCTGACC